TATTATAATAACAGTTTTTTTAGAATAATAGCAAGTATGTTGAAATAAGTATGAAACATTATTTCTGCTGTAATGGATACAATTATTGGGTTTTATTCGTTATCCTAATTAGGGGAAAATAAGTTCATCCTACTTTAGTCTCTAATTATTAATTCTTATAATAATATTATTATATAATAAGATGCTAGAGAAAGTTTGATTTTTTCAGGCATGCGCCAACAGAAGCGATATATGTCCAACCTAGGTTTTTACAAACTGAAAATAAATATTTATTAAATATATATTTTCAAAATAAAATTTTTATAAAATATGACATATATCGACTATGTTTTCATCTTAGAAATTTGTAATCGTAATTGTAACATTTAAATCTTATAATAATTAAATGATACTTTCTTGATTCACAGATATAATATATGAATAAAAGAAAATTAGAACATTTATACTTGAAAGAATTATTCTGTATGGTTCTAATATTATAAATGCTACAAACTGTAAAATAAAGATATTTAATAATTTTATGTGCGGGCGCACACATACACACACATACACATACAAGCTTGAAAAAAAAAATAATAATTACGAATGACTTTTTTTGATAAAGCGCAAAATATATTGTGTCTCTATATATTGTCAAACTTGTATTAAAAGTTTCTTTCGTATTTTGTAACACTTCATGTATCTGCATTAATTTCAAATGATAGTGGCAAATAATTGCATGTTATATGTATATAATATAAATGAAAAATTTTTTGTATGGCAAAAAATGGTAGCCAAAAAAGAAACAAGTATAATAAAATAAATATAGAATGTCGCACAGTAGCTTTACATATTTTTTACATGCTTGTTGCAAGAACACATTTATTGATGTAACACACATTAAGTGCTACAGCAGACGGAAAAAATATGAAATTAAGAGTTTATTTTTATTCTATGCGAAGAAAACGCGATATGTAAATCTACAGTTTTGAATCGGATTATTTGTATAACAATGATGATAATAATCTTGAAAGAAGAATAACATAATATACGGAAAGACGCAAACATTAAGATAAATATCTCAAGTTAAAACTTTTAGCTTCTTTATAACGATTGTAATTATTGTCTTTTATTAGTAATTTTAACTTTTAGGAGAAAAATATATCCATTCCTTATATTCCCATTTTCTCAAATTAATGTATTACTATGTATTATTATGTGTTACTACTATATAATACCAGCTTGATCCTTTAATCCATCATTGCCGATAAAAATGATATATAACCAGCTGACGTTTTTAATAGCTGAAAATAAATACATTTTTATTTAAAGATATTTTTATGAAACTATAAAAAAAAATTTTTAACTACATTGACCATGGTTTCGTGTTATATTTGTAATCACATTTTAAATATCTAAATATTAAATAATTTAAATTTAAATCTTTGTTTTATTATTAAGTATAATACATTTTTGACCAACAGATTTAGTACAGAATAAGAAGTTACAATATTAATAGATTTTGAAAAAAAGTTTTTTATGTTAAGGCTTCAGGGTACTCGCCGCGGCCATATTGGAATCGTGACGTCAAAGGCGAGAATGACGCGCTGAGAATTCTTGCGTGTCATTTTTAAATAAAAATATATTTTGATGAAACAACACAGATCGCATTTGTAAAATTGTCCGAAAGCTATGCTAAAAGCATATATGTTTCATATCACACTCATTTTACAGCTGTTTAGTAACTGTCAAGGGAAAAGCATAGTTTTCGGACAATTTTACAAGTGTGCTAAAGCGATCTGTGTTGTTGTTTCATCAAAATATCTTTTTATTTAAAAATGGCACGCAAGAATCCTCAGCGTATCATCCTCGCCTCTGACGTCACGATTCAAATATGACCGCAGCAAGTACCCAGGAGCCTTAACATCTATTAAAAAATTATAAAAAGATATATCTTTCATTCCACTTGTTTTATTTAAATGATACTTATAACTAATAATTATATTTCATTATATAGATACAGAAAAGAGAAAGAGTGACACATAAAATTTTAGTTAAACTAAAAAATACTAATAATCTTACGCTGCAAAAAGTAGCCATCGTTAATGGAACAATCTTTCCTGCAGTAATACCGCAAGGTTGCTGAACTCGTATCATTAATAGAATAAGATTTTTCGCTTGTTTTGACTTCCATTTGTACCACTCACGATCGTACACAGCATGGTATACTGCTTCCCACTTTACAAGGACACATAATAATATATAAATATTCATATTAATAAAAGTTAAATAAAAATGTATATATAATAATTAAATCATATAATATAATAAGATATAATAATCATTAAATCACCAAGCGAGATGGCAAAATGACAAATAATGTATATCATATTTATGTATAAGTGTATAAGATTTTAACTTACCTGTTCTGTTATTAAATCTCCAGCATAGCAATAGAAAAACATTTGCATAAAAATAATAATGATAGCTACTATCATGTAGCATATTTGTGAGAAATTCGCGGCATTTATCTTTTCATTATTAATCATCTGGATAACATTTTACTAATTAAAAAATAGATAATAATAACATTCAAACATATACAATCCATACTGCACATACACAGACTGTATATTTTAAAAATTAATAAATTGAAATTTATCTTTTACATTTTCAGTAAAATCTATGTTACTGGAACTTACAACAAGCAACGCAAATCCAGTTAGACAAAATATAATGCTAAAATATATTATCGATCCAAGCATCATTAAAGTAAATATATCTTCAACGTTATTAATATACCTTTAAATATAGAACACATTTAAAAAATCATTATATTAAAATGAATGGAAAATTATACACTTAGTACATATTGTACAAAAACTCATGCTTAAGATTATATACACATGTAATAATTAAATGTACAATTTTTTCTACTTAATATTAACGAAAAGAAAAGAAAGAAAATCTCATCTTACATATATAGTGATATATATATGTGATCAACCTTGTATGATCAGAAGAAAGTTAAACCTATAAAATTTATAATACAATGGTAGAGACAATTTCTTCAAAAGTTATGTTGAACTTATTAAATTCAGTTAAATCATAATCAAAATTCACACCTGATAAGCCGTAAATGAGTCACTATGTAGTTTCTCAGAGCTTTGTTAAACTCTTTGCCGACGACCAAATTGGCTAACTGGCGTCTGAAGTTTTCTAATTGACCGCAGATATGAAGAATTACGAATCCAAGAAAAGTATCTACTGACGTATAAATTATCACGACGAAAAACACCGCTATGACTTGAGTAAGATATGTTAACTCAAACTGCGGATTCTTATCTGTGTCGTAGAAATAATATGCCTGGAGCGGTAACGGTTTGTCCCGATCCGTGAGATTTGTCAGACGTCTGAACGGTACGCCAAAATAAGGAAAAATGGTAACCATAATTAACGCGGATATCATCAGAACGTATGCACAAATCACAATCAGTCGAGCGGTTTCCATACGCTTTATCATTACATCTCTTTCTGCATCTAGTTTCAATGTCATCCAATCTTCTCTAATCATACTTATGATCGATAAGACAACTTGGGGATGTAAAAAAACAATATCAATAGTAAAATAATATAAAATACTTATATCTAATTTACTATTACAGCTGTAGTAATTAATTAACTACTCTAATAGAATTTGATAAAAAAATGTAATCTATAGTTACGCATTCTATATCAAATCAATCCAGACATACTTGATTGTTTCCATCGCATGATAACAAGTTTTAATAAAACCGACAGTATAGGTAATGTAAATCGTAAATTGTCTATCATTAGTACCATGTCGCCCCAAACTAGCATAAGCGCATAAATAAGAGGAATTACACAAAAAAATGTTATCATAATAAAAGCAAAACCTATGCGAATGTCAGACGCGAATCTTTTCAGAGTAAAATAATTGGTTCTAGGCCACAAGCCGATCAAATTTAAAGTCAGACGGTTTAGTTCAATCGCCCATTCAAAATCTGAAAAGATTTTTTTTTATAGAATAAGAAATTTTCAATACGATAATTATGCGAAATTTTCAATACGATAAATGCATATGTAGATTGTAAAATTTTGATGAAAAGTAATAAAACTGCAATGTGACATGTTAATGCAATACAATACCAATTTAAAAACTCTTATTAAAGACATTGAATATTGGATTATAAGTGGCAAATGTATAATATCGGCTCAGTACCTCTGTAACCTGAAGATTCTGATATGTCCATATCGAAGTCTAACGCGGATATATTAAGGAGGTGTTGATTGTCGTGTTTATTCCATCCTATACTATAATGAGACGACTATCACGCATGCTCGTGCAGCGGGTACAATAACCTGACTGCTTCGTCGAAGGATGCATTAAATATTAAAGATGCTACTTCCAGTGGCTTACGCAATTTTTTGCCTGCTTCGTAACAGAACTTTATGGGCATAAGAATAATTACGTACATGTGGTTTTTTAATAAAGTGGGAAGTGTATTGTGTCGCTATATATCATCAAACTTGTCTTAAAAGTTTTTTTGTACTTTGTAGCGTGTTTCTAAACGTGCGTACACTTTGCAACGAGAGATAATGATTGTATGAGTTAATGATGTTTTTGCATGTTATGTGTAGTGGCAAAACTTTTTTGTGCAATGAATATGAAATTTTGACTTACCCTAGTAAATGCTACAAAATGTAGTTAAACTCTCTCTAGAGATACTTATTAAACTTACACTGCAGAAAATAGTTATTAGAGGAATAATTTTTCGTGCAGTAAAGAGATTCCTGGGTTCGTATCATTACTATAATAACATATTTCTTACAATAAATAGCAAATACTATGAAGTAAAATAAAAAACTTTATTTCTGCCGTAATGAATACAATTATTGATTTTTATTCTTTATTCTAATTAGGAGAAAATAAGTTTATTCTTCTTCTTACTCATTTTCTAATTATTATATAATAAAATACTAAAGAGAGTTTGATTTTTTCAGGCATGCGCCAACAAAAACGATATATATCCAACCGAGGTTTTTACAAACTAAAAAAGAAATAATATATATATAGATATTTATTTATTAAGTATATTTTTAAAATGTAATTTTTATAATATATTATATATATT